CTGCACTAGTATCGCAGAGGTCAGTGGTTCGAATCCCGTACAGGCCTGATTTTTTTCAGGTCTGATTTTCGCTATTGCATAAATAGTGCTATCTACTGCGAAGGATCGTGCATCATACGTATTTAATACCGCAGTTCAAAATATATGAACTTCATATATTCATAGTACATACTTTGTTACCATGGGCCATTTTCCTCAAGTGAAGACTATCTATTGACTCAAAGCAAGAGAAAACTATTTCTATTAATTTTGATTTAAAAAGCTTGTTTCAGAAAAGTTGTTATTATCTCTTAATAGGGATGGGGACATCTATGCTGCTTTGCGTGACTGCCACAGAGCTCTAAGACTAGACCCAAATCACACCAAGGCCCATTTTCGTCAAGCTCGGTGTTTGTATGAACTACACTGGTTCCAGGAGGCCCTCTCCTGCCTCAATCATTTCAAGTTGAAATTTCCAGAGCAAGCAGAAGGAAGTGCAGCAAAAACTTTAGAGAGAGATATCAGAGCTGCTGCATTTGCTGAGACTTGTGGTAGGTGTACTTGGACTGTAATAGGTTCAATGTAATTGCTGGGTCTGCATTTTTGAAAACCTTGATAAATGCTATTTCACTATGAAATAGGTAAACCAGCAGTATCATTCCTTTAACCAACAAGTTCAGTTTCCTTAAGGAAAATTGTTAAAAATTGCAAAAACCATCTAAGATCCAGGATCAAATTTTGTTCAACCCACTGGCTGGAGTAATTCTCTAATCTGCTAATAGAATCAGTCTGTGTCTACCTACTTCCACTTTTGGGGTAGCTAGAGGAAAAGAGTTGTGTCTTTTAATAGAAACTCTGATGAAAAGAAACAACAACAAAAAAATTTATTTATTACATTTTGTGGGTTTTTGTGACTAGCATAAGTCAATGTTATCCTTGGTGACTTAAAATACTCTTATATGTTTAGAAAACAGTGAAGAAGAGGCAAATGCTCAGTCTGAACCACTTCCAAATCGGCGCAGGAGGAGGCCTAGCATTGTGTCTGATCAAGAGAAAGACTTCCGCGCTGGAGCACTTGATTATGATCAGCGGTTCTGTGGACATTGTAACACAACTACAGAGATAAAAGAAGCAAACTTTTTTGGCAACAATGGGCAGTATATTGTGGCAGGCAGTGATGATGGTTCATTTTTCATGTGGGACAAAGAGACAACAAATTTAGTGAGAGTTCTTAAGGGAGACGATTCTATTGTGAATTGTTTGCAACCACATCCAAGTATGTGTCTTCTGGCTACAAGTGGAATTGATCCTGTTATCAGACTATGGAGTCCATGTCCAAGGAGTGGAGATATACAAGATAGAACTATAGATGAGGTTGAAGCTGCAGCAAGGGCAAATCAGCGGAGAATGAATGCTGATCCTTTGGAAGTGATGCTTATGAACATGGGATACAGATCAAGATTTACCATGGGAGAAGGCAGTGATGAAGATGACACTGAAACCCCAATACAGTGTCGCACTAGTTAGACACTAAATTGCCCTTGCCATTTAATAAAAACTAAAACTCAAGTAAATAGGAAACATATGGACTTAAGATAATTACGAGTTGAAAAAGCTGTCCAGTTTTGTACATTTGTTGCAAGCCTCCCACATGCTCATTTTTCAGTTGATTGGGTATCAGTGGTAGTGACTCCCTGGTGATAGACAAGAAGGAAATGTTGGCCTTTGGAAAAGGTGGCATTCTTTTGAAAGGGGTAATGTCTTGTAAGGGCTTTAGAGAATGTCTCCATGGATGGGTATTTTTTAAAATCAGACATGAATGGTTTAGTTATTGAGATGCTCATGCTTTCCAAGGCCATATTGAGTAATAAATTTAAAGCCTTCTTTTGTGCAAGAAATGACTCAATGTTTTTGCTCCCACTTAGCCTTCTACTCCTTTGCTTAAAGTTCGCTAATTTATGGAAGGACAGGTGTCCAATATCAGGTCATCATACATTTGAACTCTTCAGGACAAGTTGCTGACCAGCTGTCTGAAGACTTCTCTGTCAGGTCTATTAAATCCCCCTTAATGTTGGTTGGGAGAGTTTTCATGTAATTTTGTTTGTTACATGTTTATTGAATTGAGCTTGGAAATAAATGTCACTGAGCGGTAGTATCTTGGTAAAGCTCAGAAGGCCCTGGTGGTTTTGAAATATTTATAAAGTGGATCTTTTAAATGACATCAGTGAGGTTGCCTTTGTTTTCAACGTTTATTTTGTCATTTGTTTTGCTGGTAAAACTGGGTAGATCGATTGTAGAAAGAGCTAACAAATAATGGTATTGCAGAAATTAACAACAACAAAAGCTGAATTTTACTTCTTTGATGTGTGGTAGCACATAATAGGTAGTTGAAAATGGAGGAAATGATTTACAATAAATTCAATTCTCAAATCTGACCAGTAGTTAGGGTATATTTGTAAACATTTGCAACCACATTATTGATGGCTCCAAGTGAAATTTAAATGTCTCTCCTGTACAATTCTGGGCATTTGTCCCCTATGTACATTTCTTTTTGTAATTTCAAGTTTTAGGGGTGAAAAAAATAAATATAATAGCATGTCTTAAAGCCATCTTCACTTCTGTTATAGACACACTTAATTCACAATTAATTGCCGAGGAAATGGCAGTGAATGACCTGTGCTCCTTTGTTTGTATACTTCATTGCTTCTTGCTACATACCAATACAGTCTGAATTCACATTCTTTTTTTTTAGCCCCATTATTTTTGTGGAATGCTTTATGCTGCTTTTGCAATATCTGTCAGTCCTTTAGAAACCTCTACTCCAAATGGCTCTCAAATGGTTCTCAATTTAATTTTATCCCTGAGATAAGGGACCCAGTTAAGTAAATATAATACTATTGATGTATCACTTTCAGTGATGACAATGATGAAACCTTAGTCACAAAGGTATGTCTGCACTATCCATACTTTTATTGTAATATTTTTATTTTTGGACCTACTGGAGGTGGTGGTTGGTGATGTGCACATACCTATGCCATGACCAGAAAATAAAAGCTTGAAAAGAGCTCTCTTCTGCAGATCTGTTTATCTATTCAATCATTAGAACTTTAGAGACATTTAAAATTCCTTTTATTTCTTGTCTGTCACTGATTGTCAAAAAATATAAAATTTTCAAGTTTGTACTAAATAGTTTGGTTATTCTGGATATAATATTTTTCATCTAGTTTGCCCTCTTAAGCTTTGAGTTATGAGCTGAAATTTTCGAGAAATCCCTGCTACTATCATCAACTATCTATTCCATCAGAAGCACATTTTCTAGGTGTATACTTTAGTAAAAATTATAAAACAATTTCCTACATTTAAATATCTTAACAAAATTTAAATACTACTTTTAGGGAATAACTAGACAAAGATGTTTGATCAATTCCTCAAAACCAACCTGTACATGAAAAACATGTGCTGTATGTGAGAAAGTGTCCTTCATTTTGAAGCAAATTTGAAATTCAAGTCATAAAAGTGCAATACAGAGATCTGTGTGTGATAACTTTCAACAAGATTATTTGTAATAATTTACGAATCAACAAAATATCTTTTGTTGAGCTTTCATAATATATGAAAACAAGCTAATTCCTAATAGCTGGTGATTTTTTTTAGGGCCTCCAAACATCTCCACTTGTCTGGAAGGTAAAATGGCTCAAATATGTGAGGGAAGGGTGTGTCCCAGCCACACACTCGCTGGATGGGAGCCTCAAGTGACAAGAAGCACTGTTCCTACAACAAAGAAAAAACAACATCTTAAAACAACATTCATTTTTATATCTGATAATTCACAGAGCACAGCTGACACCAGTATGTACAGGTCCTGTAAGTAAGCCAGGAGATATACTGCATAGCATGACAAATCTACATCTCTAAGCAACATCCTCAAATTTAAGCTTTTATATGCCAGTAACAAAGAACTGAGCTTGGTAACCCATTCCTTATACCTGGAATGCACCAGCATATCAAGATTTACCTTTTCTAAAATTCTCAAATTATCTGTACCTACTATTTTGGTGATTTAAGGTGGCTCTGAACCATATTACACATTTTCCCAAAACATTTTCAGTGATGAAAAATAGTGGTTGACAAACCTGATTTTAACTTACAGGCATGTGATACTTCAACTAAGGGTGTTTCAACAAGATGTAGAGTTGATATTACAGAATTATTATACGACTGTGTCTCACAAGGACTGGGAACTACCAAATTCATGAATTTGATTGGCTGAAATCAATATTGAAAGCGGTCTAGATTTTCCTATCTAGATCGGCATATAGACCGGTCTGGAAAAAAGGTACAAAGAATATAAAAAATTGGCATATAAGACACAGCCATTTAATAAACATCTTATTAACCAAGCTTGGTCATCTGTATGGGAGAATCTTGACTTCAGTCGCTGGTACAGACCTCACTGCATTCGGTCTGTACTGGCGACCTCAGTCAAGATTCTCCCATACAGACTTCCTGCTTAGTTAATAAGAACTAATTAAAGTCAGGAAGGAGATCATTACAAGTTAGGAAATAATTTGGAATTTTTGATACCAATTTCTAACCCAGCACACACAGTGTTGTTACTGATTGTGTTAATAACAATTGTCGTTTAAAAATGAAATCAATTTGAGGTATTTGACTGGGAAGCAAGATAATTGTCACTGTTTACTTATTGATCACAAAGAGAGAATTGACTGTACCATACACCCTTTAATTGCCCATAAAAAATTAGCTTCATTCCGTCCAAGAGTATCTCTCACCTGTACAGTTCTACTTATTTCGGCTCCAAATCCTCCTGTTAAAGTAGCCTCATGCGCTATTAACAACCTCCCAGTCTTCATCACAGACTAATAAAACAGATACACATGTAAACATAATTTGTATATTAATTAACACCTTTTACACAACAGGCTCATTTACCTACAAAGGCTCTAATTTGGATGTTTTTCTGGAGGATGGATACTTGCTATGTTTATTGTCTAAACTTTTAGCAGGTACACATGTAAACTCTGTAAGTAGTTTGGTGCTACAATATTTAAATGACTGTTGCAATTTGTTATTTTTCATATACTCACATTATTTTAATGTCTGATTATATGCCTTTCTTGTGTGCTCTTTTTAATTAAGAAGAGCAGCCAAAGATATTACAACCAAAAGACATGCAAGGTTTCAAATTTAATTTTGTTTGGTTTAATATAGTTCACATAATTAATTTTTCTTTTAAGATAAATTGTTCTTTCCTATTACCATCATTCTCTTGAGACATGCACCCAGTGACACAGTTTATCTAACACCACTTAAAACATTGTTTTGTAGTTACTAACCGCCTCCCGGTTAGCTCAATTGGTTAGAGCGCTGGATTGTTGTGCAGGAAGTCGGGGTTGATGGTTCGAGCCCCGGCCGGACCAACACTCAAGGTCTTAAAATAACTGAGGAGAATGCGCTACCTTTCTATAATATCAAGAAATGGATAGACATTCTAGTCTTCTCGGATAAGGATGAATAA